GTTGCAAGTAAATGGTTTAGTTCATACTTGACTGATAGACATCAATTTATTGCTATTGATAATGTGACATCTGACTCTACTCTTGTGAGGCATGGTGTTCCACAGGGTAGTATCCTTGGCCCTTTACTTTTTGTCATTTATATCAATGATTTGCCTCTACATGTTAATGGTGCTGACCTGGATCTCTATGCTGATGACACCACACTGACATTATCGGCAGATATCTCAGCGGTTGATTCTCTACAAGATTCACTAGCTGCTTCTTTGAAGGAAATTGAATGCTGGACGCACACCAATAAACTTCCTCTCAATGAAAAAAAAAGACTAAAACACTACTGGTCACAGGCAAACGCCTTGGGAAGAAACTACCAGATGGTTATAATTTATCTCTTAAAACTATGAATGGTGTATCATTGGAACAAGTACCCTCAGCTAAACTTCTTGGTATAGACATTGACCACGATTTATCAATGAACACTTATGTTGACAGACTGTGTAAAAAAATTTCACAAAGAATTGGAATTTTGAATAAGATCAAACTTTGTTTACCATTTAACCAAAGACTTTTATTTTATAATAGTTTAATTAAGCCATTATTTGATTATGCCAATGTTGCATGGCAGTCACTTTGCTCTAATGAATCTCTTTTAAGAATACTTAGGCTACAAAAGAGAGCTGCTAGGGTTTTATTAGATGCTGAACCACGTAGTTCATCAGTTATGCTATTCAATCGTTTAAAGTGGATACCATTTTATGACTCTACTAAGAAGGCTAAATGTTCAATACTATTTAAAAGGATTAATTATTGTGTACCTAATTATCTTAATGATAGCTTAAGATTATTAAGTTCAGTACATTCACGCAACACTAGATTTTGTAAATACAACTTTTTATTACCTAAGTTTAAAAGGGCTAGAGAAGGAGGGAAAACTTTTCTAGTTTCTGCCATAAAATTATGGAATCAGTTAAAGCCTGAATTAAAAAAAAGTCTAATACACTTAAGGCCTTTAAAGACAACGTATTTAAATATTACTATAAGGACCAATCATGCTTAGCTCATTTTAATCCGTAAATTTTATTGATAGTAGTTTTATATATTCTTACTTGTTTTAGCTAATTTTCTATTTATATTTCATTCTATTAATGATTCTATTGTATTTATATATTTATTGTAATTAGGAGGACCACAAGTTTATTAGTGTTTGTGCACTATCACGTGCTATCCTCAATAAATAAAGTCTTCTTCTTCTTCTTCTTCTTATTCCCCAATGAAGTCTCAATTAGAGACGAAACGCGTCCGAAATAAACGAGAAGCTTACAACTACAAAAAGTGTTTCTTTGTGCGGCTCGCTAGTTTTAGTTAAAAATGAAAGATAGAAAAAATTACAAATTTTAAAAGAAGTTTATGTTCTTAGTGAATTCTAGAAAAGCGGGGTAAATTCTGAGAATTCTTCCTTCAAGTGGAATTGATCCTAGGTTGCCAAATCCAATCTTTAACCCGATTTTCCATTTTTTTTTCAATGAATTCTAGAAAAAGGGTATGAATTTTAAGAATTCGTCCCCCAAGTGGCTAATACCCTCAGTTCCCATATGCCATATTCACCCCGATTTTCCATTTGATCGGCGAATTTTAGAAAAACGAGGTAAATTCTGAGCATTCATACTACAAGTGGATAATAGCCGAAGTACCCACACGCTATCTTTACCCCGATTTGTGATTCATTCCAGGACTTCTACTTTTTCTCGACTTTGAAAAGGCCTTCGACACGGTAGAATGGTCTTTTCTTCCAAAAACTTTTACAGTGTTACAATTTTGGGCAATCTGCTATCAACTGGAAGCTCTTTTACCATAACACAGAAAGCTGCATTCTTAACAACGGTTGGTCTAGCAACTTCTTCAAACTTGAAAGGGGGTAAGGCAAGGCTGCCTCTCTCTCCGTATCTCTTTATTCTCTGTGTAGAAATACTAGCCGAAACAATACGGCAAAATAAAAACATCAAGGGCATAAAAATAAACGAACAAGAAGTAAAAATCAGTCAATACGCGGATGATACTACCCTTATTTTAGATCGATCGCCCGCCTCTCTAACAACCTCCTTACAAATATTAGACTTTTTCAGCAAGATTTCTGGTCTCCGATTGAATAGCAAGAAAACTGAAGCTTTGTGGATCAGTGCGAAAATTCGAAACGAAACACATCTCAGACCCGACAAAGATTTTAAATAGGTAAAAGATAAGGTTAAGGCTCTAGGCGTATGGCTCTCCACCAACCCCAAAACCACTATAGAAGCTAATTACAACGAAAAACTAACCAAAATCAGAAACAGCTTAAGCTGCTGGGAACTGCGTCGTTTAACCTTATTAGGAAAAATTACAGTTTTAAAAAGCCTTATTGCCTCTCAACTGGTTTACATCTTGTCCCCTCTGCCGTCCAACCACAGCGCTCTAACAGAAATAAATAATATGTTCTTCAATTTTGTATGGGATGGCAAGGAAGACAAGGTAAAGCACGACATAATGATCAACGACTACGAGAACGGAGGGTTAAGGATGATTGATATCAAAATTTCAACAAAGCTCTTAAATCAAGTTGGGTAAAAAAATATCTAGATCCGGAAAATCAAGGAAAATGGAAACTTTTGTTTGACTACGAATTACAAAATCTAGGTGGTGTCGAATTTTTTCGTACCAACCTTAATAAACAAGATCTGTTAAAAACTATAAAACTGCAGAGGCCTTTAATTCAGAAATACTCCACATCTGGTCAGAAATCTCACTTGAAACTAATGTCTCCTCCATTGATCAGCTAAAGGCGCAAAGTCTATGGCATAACTCTCTTATACGTGTCGGTAACAAACCTGTATACTATCGTTCATGGTCTGTAAAGGGAGTTAAAACAGTGGGCCATTTGATGAATGATGCGAATAGTTTCCTATCTTTCTCTGATTTTAAAGAGCTTTACGACATTAAAACAAACTTCCTTACTTTTCAAGGCATCTTATCAGCTGTTAAGGCCTTACAAAAAAGCAATGAAGCTAACTTCAACAGCTGTAATACTGCATACGAAACTACCTTCGACACCTTCCTAAAGACGACAAAACCAAAAAGACTAACATATAAAATTCTGACGAGCAACAGAATGCATGCTCGAAACACCAGATAATGTCGACTGGAAGGCAGTTTACAGAACTCCTTTTCTGTGCACAAAAATCACAAAATTGATTGTTTTTCAATTTAAGCTACTGCACAGAAGACTAGCCATGAACACTTTTCTTACCAAGGTAAACCTCAGGGACAATTAGCAGTGCACTTTTTGTAAAAGTGATAAAGAGACTCTCATCCACCTATTTTGGACTTGTGATATATCCAACCGTTTCTGGCAAGGTCTTAAACAATGGATAATTAACCTTGGAGAACCTTTCGCGGAAATTTTCAATCTATCGCCATTTATAGTAATAGGGCTTAAGCCACACTAAAACAAGAAACTAAACTTCCTTTTTTTGGTCGCTAGATATTTTGTATGGATATGCAGAATGCGCAACATCTCTCCGAAAATAAAAACTTCCCCCTCTTCTTCTCACATTATAATGCATAAATCATTATTATAAAGAAAAACCATGCTTAAAACAAGCACAACACGCATTTACTTAGTGTTTTCTTTAATTCTGTTTACATATAATTTGATGTTTGTATCCTTTTTTCCTGCACTTTTTTGTTTTCTTTTAAACTACCTTCTTTTCTATAAATTGTGAGTAGTGCACTCTGGCTGTAAACGCTTTTTTGTTTTTTTCTTTTCTTTTCTTTTAATATATACTTATTTGTTTAGTCGCTCTTCAACCAGTATTGTTTTAAATATTGTATTGCACTGTAACGTACGTATTTGTAAAAAACAAAAAACGTAAGTAATGTAGCTATAGATGTAACTGTACTGTAAGTTATTTTCTGTAGCCGTGATATAAGTAATATAGCTGTAATTAAAGTAATATAGTTGTTTTTGTATTAAAAAATAAATTAAAAAATTTATAAAAAATAAATAAAAATATTGTGACAGTCAGATTTAAAAAAAAAATCTTTACCCCGATTTTCCATTTTTTTCAACAAATTCTAGAAAAACAGGGTAAAATCTAAGAATTCATCATCCAAATTGAATAGATCCCAAGTTGCAAACCAAACGTGCAATAAATCACAATCTACTACTTCAAATTTTTACGGAGGGCTTAGTGCGGTACAGCAAAAACCTACAATATTTAAAATAAACAACCAAAGGCCAAACTTCTGTGATTCAAGGAAGACTTCGTGACGCGAAGCAGACAAATTATCACAACTTTGACCTCTCAGTCGATCTCACCTCCAGCAGATCAGCGAAGGGTCAAAAATATATAATTTCATGCCGACGAACCATAATCTATGATCTTCAACTATTAAACAAAATAAAACAATTGTGATATGACGCCACATTGTGCTTTTGTCTTAGCTTGTATGTAAAATGTTGTCAATGGAGTCGCAAGTCGAACAATGAGGACAGTAAATAAAGCAAGACTGAAAATAAAGCGTGAACAATAACGCATCTTTTGGTCGAAAGTCGCTTTTGTTATTTACGTAGCAAGTTATTCTTCCATGTTTAGGCTATAACAACGATGCGATCACACGGCGCCAATGAAGGAACGATAGAACTTCAAAGAAAATAATGTGAGAGGCCAATGATCCGGTTCGCAGTGATCATGCGAACAGCATGTTTTCCTGAGATCAGTTACCAGAAAATACTGGTCAAATTTTCCACTTATCCCGACCCCCTCAAATAAGTACTTTTGCTTGAAGACATAACTACAACGGAGTCTCTTAACCAGTCCCAAGCCGCGTGTCGCTCGATAGATCACAGGATATGATTGGCCTCTCTATCACTCTATCTATCTACGTCAGAGGACATATCTGCAATAAGAGGACATAAGTGCACCGGTACAATGACCGACTGAAGAAATTTGAAAATCCTGGTGCTTGCAGCGACTTACAGCTTGGCTGGGCTCTACACAAGCCGCAAAGTCAAGCGATGCGGTTTCCTTTTGAGGTTAAACAGTACCTTACAACGAAATTTGACCTTGGAGAGAGAACTGGAAACAAGGTGGATCCAGGAAAAGTGGCGGCAGACATGAGAACAGCAAGAAACACGGATGGTTCGTGGATTTTTAAAAGGGAACATTGGCTAACGAAAAGTCAAGTACAGGGGTTCTTTTCAAGACTGGCGGCCACTCGAAGAAGGCAAGGAAACGAAGAGATTCAGATTGAGGATGTGCTCGCTGAGGAGGAAGAGCGGGAAAGACAAGAAGTGCTGGAGAGCGTAGCCGCTCAGCTAAGTCCTAGGCATCCAATCTGTTACGATTCTTACTGCCTGTGTGACCTAGCAAGAGAAGATAGACTTGACCGTTTCAGTGTAGTTATGCTGAAGGAGATACTAAAATATTTTGAGGTCCCCTTTGTGTTGGATTAGTTGCTTATTACATCAGACTTCCGCTGTTCCAGTTAGCAAGGCCCTGTTGCATGTTGGGGGCCATGTGCTTTGATGTTCGGCCATCTTGTATGTACTTCATCTGTGTACGGAATAAATCTTTACTTTGAAGCCTAAATAGCCCACTTTGGAAAAGAGCGGTAGCCTGGAACCGAAGTCGCCACGCAAGCGCTTATGGGATTGTTTGGGGGGATTGTTTGGGGGGACGCTCAAGTCGGCCATCTTGAATTATGCCCAAGCACGTAAGTTGTTGTGTGCCTTTGTGCACCAATAATTTCAGAAACTCCTTCGGATTGACGTTTTATCGAATTCCAAAAGATGAAAGTATTCGCAGAGAATATGTCCGTTTACTAAGAAATGATAATTTGAAGATAGAGTCCGACAGTACACGCGTTTGCTCTGCGCATTGGACTGGAGGTAGTAAGCTCAGCAGAACTCACCTTCCATCGATATTTCCTTGGAGCAAGAAGGAAAAGGAGCGACGGATTTTGTCCAGAACGGAAGCGACTGCAAATACAGCAAGCAAGAAAAGAAAAGTGGACGTGGGATCTTCTACCGAAATTGACGAAGGGACTCTTATTGAAATTGATCACGAGGAGTCCATTCCGGCCTCTTTTTGCGATGCAGCGACACAAACTGAAATGACTGTAGAAATGCTGGATCGAATGGAAGCCGAACTTAAAGAGATGAGAGAGGAAAAGGAAAGGTTGGCAAGGGAGAGAGACGAGTTATCAAGGGAGTTAAAGAGACTTCAGCATGTAACGAAAAATCAGAAATTTGACATTGTAAAATTTAAGGACAGCCCTGAAGATGTCGAATTTTACACAGGCCTTCCCCACTGGGATGCACTTATGCTCCTTTATGACCTGGTCAGTCAGAAGGCTCAGAACCTGAACTATGGCAGTTACGAAAAGAAAGACAGTGGTTCAGAGCAAAAGCTTGGAAGGCCCAGAGCATTGACTTTATTTGAAGAGTTTGTTTTGACTTTAAATGAGACTTAGGCTTGGCTTGTTTCAAAAGGATCTTGCACACAGATTTAATGTTTCTGAAACTACTGTTTCTGTTGTGTTTAACACTTGGATTCGGTTTATGAGGATTGAACTGGAGCCTTTAATTTGCCTCCCCAGGAGAGAGCTTCTACATCAGTTCATACCAAACATTTTCAAGGAACTTTATCCAAGTACAGTTCTAATTATTGATGCTGTTGAAATTCGAGCAGAGAGCCCCTCATCACTTGACATGCAGTCAGTGTGTTATTCCTCGTATAAAGGAACAACAACTATGAAAGGACTAGTTGGTCTTTCGCCCACTGGAGCCCTGGGATTTTTAAGCGAGCTTTACACTGGTAGCATAAGTGACAAGGAGCTTACCAAAATGTCTCATGTGATTGACTACTTGCATCCTGGGGACGATGTCATGGCAGACAAAGGCTTTGACATACAAGATGACTTTGCTGCAAAAGGGGTTACTGTAAACATACCTTCTTTTCTTAAAGGAAAAACTCAGTTCAGCAGAGAAGAAATGGCACACAACAAAAAAATTGCTAGCCTGAGAATACATGTTGAGAGATGTATTGAAAGGATGAAAAACTGGCATATTTTTGACAGCAGAATTCCTTTAACATTGGCTCCTATTGCTAGTGACATGTTTATAATCATAGGGGCACTTACAAACTTTTTACCACCTCTCATTGATTAAAGTGTAATGCATGATTCCAGAAATGTCCATACTTCCCCATAGGAGGGTTTTTTCATTTAAACCCTTCCAACCCCCGCCGCCCCCCGCCCCCGGAATTTCTAGTTTGCCTTCATACTTTCCCTAATAAACTTTGGCTGTTGGGTCCCCCTCCCCTCAGATTTTCGAAGCCCTTTCATTGGGTGAGTATGGACTTTCTGGAACCATACAACAATTTTTCACTTTCTACTTGTACATAAAGCAATGTTTTTCTCCAAGCAGATAGTGGAATCTTATTTAATAACCTTTCTTGATTTGCCTCATCTTCAATAATATGCAAGATTGTTCACTCAGACTTTGATTATTATGTATTATAATCTGTGTATTTGAGCTCCTTCTGTTAAAAAAAGCCATACACACAAAGTAAATTACACACGTTAAATTTCTTGGGGATATTATTTTAGATTTAAGGTTCAGCCTTGTTTACATGGAGTGAGTTTTATCTTATTAATGCCTTTCATAGAACTTTCCCGAATTCAACCTAAGTGATTACGAACAATGATTTCAAGTCAATTCTGGCGCAGACAAAATTATTGTAAATTTATCAAACCACATGAAAATTGTTCACCCCAACCTTGAATTAAAATCATTATTCGTGGGCATCGAAGGCTAATGTAGGAAAGTAAGTTCAACAACATACCAGTTTAGCAAATTAATTATGTACGTCAGTCAACATCCTCTCATGTCAAATCTTGAAAGGCCATATTTAACACGCGGATAAGCAAGTTCTACAAGAATGTGCTCATTGTAAAATGCCTCCAGTTTTGGGAGCACTGAACTCCAGAATTTACGATCAAAGTTTACTGTCGAAATGAAAACACCTTCAATGTCTACAAATGATCTGTCTGTAAGCTCTTTAACTCCCTTAATCACCAGATCCACCCATGATTTCTCTGTAACAAACAACTGTTGCTGGACTTGATAGTGATACTTGTGTTTCTGGTTGATAACCAGCTGTCCATCAGTTGAACCAGGAAGAAAGATTCTTTTTCTGATAAGTCCATCATGCAAAGTCTCATTCTCCTTTAGGAAGACAAGTTTTATTTCAATAAGTCCACTGGAACTTGGCTCAGTTGAGTCGGCATTGTATACTAAGCCATCTGGAGATGCAGCCAAGAAATTATGTGATTTGCTCATGAAAAGTCCACATGGTTTCACTAGGACATTTTGATTGTTCAGTTTCCTTGATTTGATGTATTCTGCAATAACAGCACCTTCTCTTGACAAGCCCTCTTTCATATAAATTGTTTGAGGGATCTGCTTGTAATGTAAGACTTCACTAATGGCCTTTGTAGGGGAGGTAGTTGCTTGCAGAGTGGCAATTTGATGGCATTTAGATGCAGTTATTCTTATTTTTCGATGCAGATTCCAGTTTTCATTTACTGATTGGCCCATGGTTTCTTTTTCAATTTGATCAACATCCTTTTCATCAGCAAAGAGCCTTTTCTTAACTTTTATGCACCTTTCCTTTATTTCTTCCAAACTCACTGGATGGCATTTCACTGGTGATAACAGTTCAGTTGACACTGGACTACCATTTCCTTGTTCTGGTTCAACTGGTTCAATGTGAGTCAAGGGTGTGCAGTAATTATGTTCAACCAAAATCGTTTCTTTATTTTCCTCCAAAGTTTTCTGCGGTAAAATGAGACTTAAGGCCATTTTCTTGCCTGTCTTATTCTCAATCTCCTTGACATGGTGCAATAAATTATACATGTCAGTGTTTGTATTCGGGTACTGCTGGTGTGGTGCTCTAACATCCCTTGTTGATGGAGGAGATTTATCCTCACTCTTGCTTAGTTTGCCATGTTGATGTTTTTTAAATTTGGCTTTGGCAATTGGCAGATTGTCAATCTTTCTTTTTCTTGGGACATTCCATGCACATGGCTTTGAAGTGCAAGAAAGTGCAGGGGTTAAGGAAGGATTTACAGGTGCTTTACTTTGTTTGAAGAACTCCTCCAGTGCAAATAGTGTTGAAGTTACATGGTTGCAACGCCCGTCAACTCCAGCTGGGCAACCATCATAAGCTGTTACTACACTGCCATCTTTGTTGAAAACAATGAAGCAATTATACAACACTGTCTTTTTCATTGATGGAAGAACTTGACTTTTAACATAAAACTTTCCGTCAGATTCCCTGCATTTAATGCTAAGGACATGGCCAGATTTAAAAAATTGTATCCCTTGACAAGAGGTTTTCCTGTGGATAATTGCTTTTAGCATCACTCTCTTCAATCATGTACCTCCATATTGTACCAAATGATATAGCAGGTAAAATATTCAAATCCTCTGTAAATCCGTCCACTGGAAAGTTTTTCTTTGAGTTTTTAGCGTTAATTTCTTCCATGAGTCCCAGGTCTGCCTTAGCTTTAGCCAAATGGATTCCACCATCAGGGTCCTTTATCTTCGAGCTTAGGCCACCAGCAATATAGTCTTTTACCCTGAAACACAATAGACAAAACACGAACGTATTAACGATGTTCTCAGAAAATTGTCGACTAGCATCGTAATGTAAAGCACAGGGGGCAATAATAAGAGTTCTCGAATAATTTCAAAGCTTTCTTACCTTTGAACAAGCTGCATTTTCTTTCCAGTTGTTTTAGCTCCACGGCAAAGAAGCCATCGCTGCATTCTTCTGGTATTTCCCGAGGTAAAATTGCTCCTGGTACATCTTCTTCTCTTAGCTTTACGCTGTCAGATTTGTTTCTTTCGATAACTTCGACCTTATCGCTATTTTGCTCTGTTAAAACCTTGCTGTCACTACTACATTCCGCGCTAAATTCCGCCATGTTTTTGTTTTACTTACGTCCCCCCAAACAGTCCCATAAGCGCTTGCGCGGCTACTTCGGTTCCAGGCTACCGCTCTTTTCCAAAGTGGGCTATATTACATGGTGGCAGCGGTGAGTAGAGACAATCAACGTTAAACAATGCCAGGAGGCGAAGAACAGAACACGTCAGGCAAGGGGACGGTTAATCAGGCCCACACGACCACACAAATTCCTCTCCCCGGAAAATTCGAAGAGGCAAACAGTCCACAAGCAGCAGATGCATGGCCAAAGTGGCTTCACCGATTTGACCAGTACAGAGCTGCGTCAGGGCTAAACAGCAAACCACCAACTGAGCAGGTCAGTACTCTCCTTTATGCA